AATGTATATTAAAATAGAAAAACGTTATTTTACATCATATTAATATTTCACAATATTAAATTTGTTGATATTTGAAAATATTTACATGTATTTACATGCATATTTTTATATTCATATAATTTATATTATATATAAATATATTTAATATATAAACATTACATATTTTTCTTAAATATATACATGCATGCGTTTGTATTTATATATACATAATAAATATACACAGTACACACACATATATTATGTGAACAAAAACTTTAATTTTGGATGCAATTAATCGCGATTAATCGTTTGACAGCACATATATATATATACCAAATATAATGTCAACAATATCAACAAAAAAAAAGGTATATTTTTATAAACATGGGACGTGTTGGTGATAAATATATACAAACTCACAATAACACACCTTAGGCATTAAGGAACTCCTGTTCACTGCGTCCAATAGCATCTGGGTTGGACAGAGGGTCCAAATCTGCAAAGAGGTTAAACCAGGCAGACATGTCCCTGGAGCTTCCCTTAGGTGCTAAAAAGACAGAGAGATCAATCACTACAGAAACAGTACAAATCTAAGTAAAAAAAAAAAAAGTACCATCTAAGATTGTCTGTATCCATCTGTTAATTTTTGACATGTGATATAAAACTCTCACCACTGGCAGATGAGTGTGGACTATTCTGGGTAGGCTGTCCTCCACTGGAAGGTGCTTGGAGGGGCGGGGCTTGAAACATAGGTGGAGTCGCCCATCCTGAACAACAGAAAGAGAATGAATATGAACATCACAGTGACTGCACTGAATACTAGTCGCACAACAAAACTGTGTTGCTCGTTCCTCCAGCCAGTAGAGGGCAAATAAAAGTTTGTGCAAACCTGTGGAGCTAAGGCTATGGTCCAGGAGCTGTGATGGCAGGAAGCCAGTGGGTGTGTTTGCCGTTCCTGTTTGCGGTGAAGGAGCAGTAACAGGAGCAGGAGGGGCCTCAAAACAGCCGAAAGCATCCTGCCATGCCTTACTAAACTCACTAGTGCCACCCGCAGCCCCAGGACTCAGCAGATCCTGCAGGAAGGCCAGGTCACCTCTCTCTCCCTCCTCTTCTTTCACCTCAGACAACAGATCCCTGCCTACTACAATAAAAATAAGAAGATAATCAGGCTTTTACACTGCAAAAAGCAAATTGCTTCCTCAGTACTGTTGTCTTGTTTTCTGGTACAAATATCTAAACATTCTTTAATCAAGAAACATTTACTTTAATCAA